CTTGAGGCTGTCTCTCCTCTCTGGTGGTGGTGGTACTGTGGTGTGTGTGTGTGTGTGTGTGTGTTTATGTGTGGTGGTGGTGGATGGGTGTGTGCATTCACATGCGTGCACACTGAGAACATACAAAAGCAAGCCACTAAGGCTCTCCAAGGCCAAAAGGACACTTGTCAGACATTCCAGAAGGCTGGGCAGCCTCTGCTGCATTGGCCTCCCTCGTTGTCTGCAGCTCCTGGCTTGGGGACACTGCCAAAGCACTTTAACTATGAGCTGTTGCGCTGTGTTCCCTGGTGCAGCAAAAGACAAAAGTTCAGGTGTGAAACCTGTACCTTTTCCATGTCTGCTTCTTAAATAGCAGATGATGTGCGGGCTTAGAATTGAGTCCAGGGACTTTCCTGACCTTCAGCCTACTCTTGGGGGTTCTAGATGAAATGACCGAGTGTGTTGTTAGAACAGGTCAGAGGGTACACAGTGCATCTTGTCCCAGGCAACATTAACCAGAGGGTCATGTCAACATGTCACCCCTCCTCTACACCCATTCCCATGCTGACTGCTAACTTCACCAAGGACATAGTCATTCAGTCAAAGGGGTGTTCCTGTCTCAGATGCTGTGAAGTTGCTGTTTCTTGGTGTTTCATTCTGTTGAGTAATAGCAGAGAAATATTTGATCATATATCTGCAGAGTATGGTTATTGAGTTCCAAGCACAGAACAGAAAGCCAAGTATTGAAGGAAAAAGGAAAGAAAACAGAAAAGAAGATGAAAACAATGAGAAAGAGAAATGTAGATTTAAATTTAAATTCTGACTTTTTGGAAGGGGCAAAAACGTTGTCTGCTTTAGATTTGGTTCATTCCTGCTTCAATGGAGAAATCTTGTTTGGGTTATTCTTTGTGTGAGGACTGGCAAAGTCTAGAACTGATGCGGTCTTTAGCCTTTTTGAGGCATTTAATGGCAGTCTGCCCTTAACTGGTTTGGCTTCAGACACTGTGTTTGGGATACTCTCCCCCCTCCCCCCCCCCCGCCCTTTTTTTTAAACTGAGCTATTTTCTTTCCCTAAAATGTTCTGGAATATTTTCCTAAGTTGTATTTTGTTCATCACAAATTTAGGTGTTTCACCTTCCCATGCCCCTTCGGGCCTCCTCTCTGTCTCTCTGTGTTGGCCTCCTCTACCGCACTGTCTCTGAGTGGCTAACAAAAGCAGCGGTTTTAAAGAACCTCAACTGCCACCCACAAGCTCCAGTCTCAGAGAAGGTTCAGTGACAGTTCAAAGTGGAACAGCTCCAGGGAACAGTGTGGCAGGTGGAATTGTGAACACCTAGATTGAGTTAGGACACCTGGTTTCTAGGTCCCCGACCCCTTTAAGATCTTGACTAACTCACCGGCCCTCTGAGTATTGGTTTCCTCATGTTCACAAGGAGGAGTCATATGGGGTGGGCACTCAGTTTTGATGACCTTGACTGTATTCTAAGCCTTATTTGTTATTTTTCAAATAATTTTGAGGCTGCCACCTATCACTCCACCAGGAAAATATTGAGTTTGATCTATACATGACCATGTTTTGTTTTATGTTTTTTTAACTTTCATATTTTGTTTAAGTTTTGCATAAATAATAAATGCACATAGGAAAACTTCAAACAGTACAGAAGAAGAAAAGGAAGATCTCCTCCCACCCCCAACGCCCAGCTTCCTCTCTAGAGTCACCACTGTTGCTAGTTTCTCGTGTGTCCTTCTAGAAATTTGCTGTATGCGTACACAGACCTCCCTTTTTAACTACAGATAGGATGAGCTCATACAAATAGTTCTGCCCCTTGGATTTTCCCCCTCCAAACAATGTTTCTTAGAGATTGTTCCATGAAAGTGCCTGCAGAGCTCCCTCATTCTCTGCAGTAGTGCACACACAACTCCTCTCACCGAGGGCTCGCAGTCTCCCATTGGTGGACAAGTGTTAGCCTTTTGCTGTTATAGACTGCACTGCAGTGAATATTCTCATACAGGCTTGCTGGGTTTTGTATGTGCTTTACTTTGAAAACAAAGTCATTGTCTAAGTTGCGCTCTTTTTCAGTCTCTACAGTTAATAACTGAAGATGTCTAGTCTGAACGGTCAAATCTGAATTAAGTGGAAGAAAGCAGCATGCCCACCTTTCCTCTCTTGGACGGCTCTGTGTGGCTGGTGCTTTGGAACCAGCAAGGGTGTGGCTTTGGAAGAGCTCGTCTCCAAGTCTTAAACCCCCCAGATAAGGACGCAGACATCGATGAAGTGTGCCGAGCAGTGTCTGCGTGCTGTGTGGAGATGAGTGAGAGTCCACTGAGTAGCTGGGGCAGGATTTTCTACACTGGCAGGAGTCTTCTCAGGCCACTGAAGACAGTTCTGCTCCCATTTATTTGTCATATCAATAACTTACCAGACCTGAGTCATTTAAAAAAAAATGTTCAAAGTATCTGAGTTATAAAAATTAACAGTTAACCTCTGAACTACCAACAAAAACTTTTACAAGTCTCTTTTTCCTAACCTGAGGGTTTCTGATAATAGAAATATTCTATGTACACATTTCTCTTATAGACACAATTGGGCATTTGTTTTGTTAGTTATCTCAGAAAAATAGGAGCATCTTTTTTGAGGAGGTTCAGAAACGACTATACCTGGAAATGATCACTATCCCTTGCCTTGAAAGAGGTCTAATGAACTGAATTCTTCCCGGTAGCTGGACTTTGTCTTACTTGAAAAAGTATTGAAGAACATTTTTTTCCCTTGTGCACAGTCCCTGGCCTCCTCCTCAGTCCTTCAAATGGAGACCATGATTATGCTCTAGCAAGCTATGCAAATGAAACACTCAGTTATTTTGCCACCAGTCACGACTTTTTTTTCTGTTCTCAAGCTAAGAACATAAGAAATGCCCAGGTGCTTTCACTCACTTATCACTTATGAAATTAGTTGTTCCCGAGCCTCCTGTGTGCCGGGATGGTGCCGGGGGGTGAGAGTTTTTTGTGGTGGGCTTAATTCTGGGAGAGAAAGGTGAACTCTGGACAGACTATTCCTGTCCCTGCAGTAGCTCGTTACTGAGCAGAGAGCTATCAATCTAGCCAAACCCTCCTCGAAACCTTCCTGTTTGTGACCTGGGCAACTTTTGATGACTTGCTGTCTCAGTGGTACTTCCTTGCTGTCAAAGGCAACCTATATTTAGAGGGTTGCTCTCAGTTTGAGCATTTGTTCCTGTTCTTCAGTCTAAGGTGAGGCAGAGGGCAGCCAAGGACAGTTGAAAGAACAGGTGGACCGGGTCTCAGGAGGCAACTTTGAAAATAGTTCTTTTGCTAACCAGAGTATATCCCTTCACCTCTCTGGGTTTCCTCTTCTCTGCCATAAAAAGAAGGGGATGGGTTAAATGATCTCCAAGGTTCCTTACAAAGCCTATCATTCTAGTGTTCCACAGCCACACATAAAAACCCACCTTATTTCTTCCCACATTTTTTCCAACAGCCTATTAGTTCTTGTGAGGGCAGGAGCTATCTGTTCCAACTACAAGCCCACTGTCTGATACACGGGGGGGTGGGGGGGGTGCAATAAAGATTTAAGTGAGTGTATCAATACATTTTTTTTAAAAGAATGGTTTAACACCCTCTCCCCCTAGCTGGAGGAAGTTCCTGCTATGAAATTAATTGTTCCTTAAGGAAACCAATTCTCTCTGTGTGTGAAGTTGTTGTCTTTAGCCCTGACCTAGGGACAAATAGACTGAAAAGCATGGTTTTCATTATTATAGCATATCGCCCAGGCAGAAGTTAAGTAAATTTGACTGGTAAGCTGTTTTGAGAAAAACTAGAACCTTTTAAAAAGCATTTTTTTTGTGAGAATGCTAATGATAGAATTTATTAGAGAATTTTTCAATTGTCTTCTGAAGTGAAGTATGACATGCTAAAATTAAAAATGTTAGTAAATGCAGATAAACAGAAAAACTTAAAACACTTGAAAAACTTAAAACATTTCTAATGACTTTATCCAATCACAATTAACATTTTAATGTAATTTTTTATCACTAATTTTTCTCTTTGCAAAAACTGAAATGCTTTTCCTCAATCATTTACTTGTTCCTGAGCTTAGCTCACACTTCTTTGGGGCACCCTTTTTAGACAAAGCACTAATGGGGTCCTGCCTGCATACAGGTCTCTGGCCCAGGCACTGTTTTTACATGTGAGATGGATTCTCCTTCACCCTAGGTATTGCTGCATACCCAGCAAGCACTGAGGCTCACAGCTTCCGCAGCTCTACCATTCACATGCAGGTGGTCTGAGGAAGTGCACCACACCCAGGTGTCCTGGTGAAATGATGCCATATGTAGTGCTAACTAACCTTTGTAGAATTTACTTGTGACCACTATGTTCTGTGAAAGGCTTAAAATGTATTATAGACAAAGGGAAGGTGTGAAATAAGATTTTTAACAGGGCACAAGACCTGAGACTAATGAGTCAGGAGTGGGGCCAGTATCTGAGGCTCCATGAATTGAGTTAAGGTGATAATTACTTAAACAGTATCGACTGACAGGGAAGTACTTTGGAAGGGACCCCAGAAATCTATACTCCAAAGCACAAACATTGTGATGGTTTCCTTTTGATAAGATGTTGTGGGCCCTTGTCATTGATCTCCTATGTTCCTCCCTCCCACAGTGATGAGTCACCAGCACCAGCAGCAAATGGCACCCAGTACCCTGAGCCAGCAGAACCACCCTACTCAGAACCCAGCAGCTGGGCTCCTGAGTATGCCCAACGCGCTGACCACTCAGCAGCAGCAGCAGCAGAAACTCCGGCTTCAAAGGATCCAGATGGAGAGAGAGAGGATTCGAATGCGTCAAGAGGAGCTCATGAGGCAGGTATGGTCTTCCAAGGTGCTTGGTGGCGCTTTGTGGCCTTTGTTGCCAAAGCTGTTGGCTAGGTAGCTGCTAGCCATTAGGGTAAATCTTCCTCTAGAAGCATTAGAGGCCCAACACCCTGCTCCAGACCTCTCAAGTAGAATGAGTTTCTTGTCCCAGCCTCTGCCTGCACTATCTGCAGAGCCACCTGAGAACAGGACTAGCTACACTAGCATGGCTGCCTTTGGCTTTTGCTAGCTTTAGAAGGAGAGAAGGAATATATTCCAATTATCTATTGCTTTGTAACACGTTATCCCAAATTTAATGACTTCAAACAGTAGCCATTTTATGATATTACACACATCTTGGGTCTGGAATTTAGGCAGGGCTCAGCTGGACTGCACTTTTGCTCTATGTGGTGTTGACTGAGGTCACTGAGTGGTGTTCAGCTGGTGGGCAGGCTAGTCCGGAGGGTCCCAGATGGCATCGCTCAAGCGTGTGGCACCACAGTCAGGATTGCTGGAAGTGTGCTTAGCTGGGACTAAAGCCTGGAGCGTCTACCTATAGTATCTCTAGTATGGCTATCTCAGAGTAATGGCACATATTACATAGCAGCTTGGGTCTCCCCAAGAGAATGTTCCAAAAGACAGAAAATGGAACTGGCCAGTGTCCTTAAGAGCCTGGCTCTGGAACTCAGAGTCACGTCTGCCATATTCTCTTGGTCAAAGCAGTCACAGATTAGAGCAGGTAGCAGAGGATGCTCTGTGGAAAATGACAAAGAATCTGCAACCATATTTGATCTGCTGTGGAGCATGACAAAGAGGGGAGGTTGAGGGAGAATGAGCAAGGAAAATGGTATGCATGTGGACTCTGGTAGAGTGGTCTACAAAGCTGTCTGGGCATTGATCATTCATTTATTCATTCGATCAGTCAATAGACTGCTGCTGTGTGTTCTCTCTAGGTCAGGCTCAGGGCTGTACCTCAAAAACCGAATAAGGAGAATCCCTGAAGGAACCCATGTTTCCCCTGCTTCTGTGGCTTGGCCTATCCAAGACAAAACATGAGCTGCTAAACTAATGCAGCACATGTTTTCTGGTCTCATAAATTTTGCTGGCTACATTTTGGGGAGGAAAGCTTCATTTATTGTTCTAATTCTTCAAACTTTGCTTTATGACTCCCATGAAGCCAGATACACGAGTAGCTTCCTTTCACTGGCTTTTAAGGAAGTAAGAAGTTATAATTGGTTTAGAGAGCTTTCTTGCAGGGAACTGGGGGCATTAGGGTAAACACTATTTTCTCTTTTAATTACAGCTGATACTTTAAAAAATATATGTAATCTATTTCTCATCAAATAAATTAAAAGATATAAAGTATCCAAGCTGCATGAGGTTTTAAAAACATGGTAAATTAAAATAATTCCTTAGAGCCTTTGAAAATGAGGGAAATGAACACAAATTGTGCTTTTTGTTCATTTGAACTGTTCCACTGAACTCTGTAACTACAGTTGTGCCTTTACTCTGAGGATTTGTGTCTGAACTCATAGTTATTTCAGGTAACAGTTATTTATGTTGTTTTGAGATAAACAGTATCATGTTTCTCAGAAGGGAAATAATTACATTATTGTTTTCTGTCTTTGGATAAGAATTCCATTTGGAATAATTTTTCTATTTAATAATGTAGAATAAATTAAACAGTATTATTTTAGGAACATTTGTAAGTTTCCTGTTAGTTTTATATTTAAATGAGCTTTACTGAGTTTTTTCCCTTAGGCAAAGCCATACCAAATGCTTGTTTCTCAGTTTCTGCCTCTTTCTTTGCTTCTCTTTCTTTGCCCCAACTCCTTCTTTCCCACAGAAAGTATTTCTGAAAAGGGGTGGGGAAAAGTGCCCTAAATTGTTTCCTCTATTCTAGCCCTAAGTGCCTTTGAACCAGAATGTATTATTGATGGTTCCTATTACAGAAATGCCAACCAAGTTCCTTAATGCTGATCCCCAGAGGCTGTGGCATTTGGTGCATTTTGCTGCCTCATAGCGTGCATTCCATTGTGTAGGACAGGGAAGGAGAGCTGTCTGGATTTGCACAGAGGCTCACATAGTTCAGCTTTGACCGTGTGTGTGTGTGTGTGTGTGTGTGTGTGTGTGTGTGTGTGTGTGGTTAGAAGGAAGAGATGAAATGGATAGTTGATGTCTCATTACTTTTATTATGGAATATAGGAAAAATGGTCTGACAAGACTACTTAAAGCCATATAGTAGTTGGAGTGGTCTATAATAGTTTTCTGGGGCATTTGTCAAGATGCCTGATGGTTCAGGTGTGGATTATGTCTATCATCTTGGTGGTTTTTCTGCTTGTTGTTTTTTTGTTTGTTTGTTTTTTGGTGTGTTTTTTTTCTACTTCACTATTTGCACTTAAGCCAGGGCAGAGGCAGGGATGGATTGGCAGTAAAAGTGATATTTGGCTCAGCTGTTAGCTACCTTCCAGCATCTGGTAGAAATATGAACTTTCCTCTCTTCATTGTGCCCCACTCTCATGTCCTCGGCATCAACAACTGCCTGCACATCCTTGGCTCACCAGGCAGTTAGTAACTCCTGCTCTCCCCATGCTTGCAGGATGACCCTGGTTATGCAGCCCATCTTCACTAGGTCCTTGTCCTGTAGGCATGCAGTTCTCTCAAGGGAGGCTTTCCTATGCTCTATCTCTGTATTAGGAAGGAAGCTTGGCAAATTTAATAAGTAGATGAATTTATTCCCCAATTTCTGGGAAATCATCACACTCCTGTATATTTTTATTATTCTTAGATATATGATAGATGTGAAAGCTCTTTATAAATTATGTGCTATATAAATATTCTGTTTCTTCTGTTCTTCCTTCTTCTTCCTCTTCTTGCTTCTTCCTTCCATGCCATTCATCTCTAGGCATAGAGTCTGATGATATTGTGCCATGGAGAAAACCACTTCTCGGTCCTCATTGCACAATCTAATGTACACCTCCCAATCCCAAGGGCTCAAATGTTAACTCATTGTCACTGAAATCATGTCAGGATATTAACAAAGTGGATTTGAGGAAAGTTTGACTCCAGTTCTAAAGTGAACCTCCATTATTACATAATGGAAAAATATTTTTCCTTTCTTCCTTTATCTCCTCAATCCTTCATTCAACCAACATTTATATAGTGGAAAATAATAAATGGGACATGGATACCCTCAGGTAAGTTATATTTTAGCAGAGGGGACATGATGATTAAATCTAATCATTGTCCAGAGGGTGGATTCAAACACTTCCCTACTTTATGGAATCCAGGTGGCTCCCATCTTTGACTCTTATTACTGGAGCAGAGACCAGACACTGGCAAGCACAGAGGCTTATGAATGTGAGCGCAGGATGCTTCTTTATTTTCTTCAGTGGCCCATCAGGCCAAGTTATTGAACAGCTACAGAATTAGGATCAAAGAGTCAATGAGGATTGCTATCTCCCCCAGGTAGGAACCTTCTGAAGTGAGGCAGTTTCATTAAAAATGGCTTGCTTCTACAATTAAACATTGGCTGCTGTAGCAACAGAGTTGAACTACTTGTATCTGATAATTGGTGAATTATCTCAGAATGTGTTAGGTGCTCTGAGTAGAGGGGTGCCACCAGCACCGGGGTGGGGATCCCAGGGCACTACCTTTTTAAGAAAGTAGATCTTCCACTGCTTTCAACAGGCATCTATCACAGGCATTGTGCAGAGTGAACTTTCGTGAAAGACCTTCTCCACTGGTCCTGATAATGAGAGTTTGATTTTTGCTAAATTTCCCAAAAGGCTATGAAGCAGTTCAGAGCAACAGCAACCCTAGAAAGAGCAATTTCAGTTAAAATTCTACTTCTTGGTATCTTCATATTTTTAGAAAAGGAATTAGAATTCAGTTTGTGGATATTTTTCTTTTTTTTATTAAGTAGAAAACTAAAGTTTTAACTTTTAAAAATATAATTGAGTGCTTTGTTTTTTCCTAATTGAGACAAAATAAATCATTTTGCTAAGTGAAAGAAGTCAGACCCCAAAAAGCTACATACTATATAATTCCATTTATATGACATTCTGGAAAAGGCAAACAATAGGGACAGAGGACAGATGAGTGGTTGCCAGGGTTAGGGGTGAGGGAGGAGGGCCTGACTACAAAGGGACAGCACTAGGGAATTTGGAGAGGGGTGGGTGATGGCACAGTTCTACATCTTAGTTTTAGTGGCTGTTTCACAACGGTATGTATTTGTCAAAACTCAGAACTGTATGTAAATAAAATCATAGCAAGCATAAAACACATTCATTATAAAAATATTTAACATACTCAAAAACAAGGAAGAACATCATCACTCATGCTCTTACCTAGGTAGAGTAACTATGAAGATGTGATTTCTTTCTAGTCTTTGTATGGATTTGTGTGTGTACTTTGTTATTTAAAACACAGTTACTGGCATATCACATTACTGTTTTGTCATCTCCTAATGTATTGGGCAGTCACTTCATATTCTGTATCATGGAAATTGTGCTGTGACTTTGGTTGTGTCTATTCTAAGCTGCCTGGAATCTTTTCTACAGCAGGGCTAAACGTATATTTTAAGATAACATGAGCCACACCTGCCTACAATGACTATAGAATATTCTGTTGTTACAGCCTAAAATTCAACACAGTATTTACTCAGTATTATAAAGGACATGTTTGCAACTTTGCCTAATGAAGTGGAAAATTTTAGTAACTGGTAAGAAATTGAGAAACAGGCTTCTCAGTCCCTATTTGCCCGTCTGAGAGAACAATTCCTTTACATGGAAACAGACTCAGGCCTTTATCTGAGGAGAGTGTTTCTTTTCATGTGTATTATTCATTTAAATATGAAGCCGGGGGTATGAGTGGGGGCTTCTGTCTCCAGTATTTTAATCTTCCTGTCAGTCCCCAGGGCCCCTTCTCGGGGTCTGCGTTGTTGAGAAACCGGTATTGTTCTCAAGCAAGCTCAGGACTGAGTTTACCTCCATCCTTTCCTTGATTAGGGCT